GTATTTTCCTCTTGAAACGCCACTGCTTAAAAATTTCAAACCGCGCGGGGGCCAGTCGAACTCTTATTGTGGATACGAAATGTATCAGGCGTGCTAGTAATGAGAGCCTGCAATTTTATAACGTTTTATTTTGCCATCGTATATTATGTACATTCTTAAAAAGTGGATTTTTGAAACTGTTCCTTCAAGTGAGTTGAACAATATCAGACCTGCCTTTTAATTTCTTTTCACAACTCCCTGGTCATCCAGTGCGTACAAATCCGCAAAAAAACATGCAGGTTCACACAAAGCGTACTCCGACATTGTTCAATACATCAACGGTCAAAACGTTTGAGAATGCACGAAAAATGTCCCCCCCCCGCCAAAAAAACTATTGTACAACTAACAGAGCAGTCAAACAAGAACTTGCCCTTTAGATTAGTATCCGTGGTGGTAGCATGCGGCATCCTATGCATATTATGCAATTGTTCTGTTAAAGCTAGCAGACTTCATCTGAAATATTCATATAAAATGTCTGGTTCGAGCCTGAACTGCTGTGGCTCGCGGGAAGTACTCTAGATTAGGGCGTTACTTTCAAAGAAGATTAAAGGTCTTTTGTAAAACATTTTTATCGGAGGACGACGTGTGGTTGCGGTACTCCTTCCATGTTCCCATGAGGAGAGCATATTTTTCCCCTTGGAGTATTCGATGTTTGATCGATTTATTGTTGACGCAAACTGAGTCAATTTGGCTTCAATAGCTCCTCATTATCTCTGACCTCTAAGGAATACTTCTGACATGTTTCATTCTTGTCTGGTTTTGACAAGTTTCTACGTCCCTATGGAAATGTTTAGTATTAAAAGTAGCTCACTTAATAATTGACAACGCCTTTTGTGTTGTCATTGGCCTGGATTTCCGAGTTGAGGGCGGGAAAAGCACCCTTTCTTATCTCCTAATTCACACTTTTAGGAAACAATTCGATCAGAGAATTGCGGGCGGTAACTTTTTTGATTTTTTGCCAACTACCGGATAGTCCTTAGCGAGAACCGAAATATATCGATAGAATCTATAACATAGACAAGGTTTCCACAGAACGTGGAAGACCAAACAATTTGAAGGCCACTCAGCCTTTGGACGCAATCCTAACGCTTTCAGAGGATTACTTGTCTGCCTTTTTATCCATTCTCTCCGCCAGAAAAGTGAACGTTGCCTCATGGTAACCATCATGATTTATGCCCCCCCTCCCCACCACAGATGCGTTACCTCAGCGCGCACAACAAACAGCTAAGCGAGGAGATTACTAATCTGAAAACGCGACTACTCGGGGATGCTGAGAACCTACGCGACACCTACGAGAAAGAAATGCGTCAACTGCGACAGATGCTGGATGACGCAGAACGCGAAAAGGCTGACAGCCACGCTAGACTGCTCACCAGCCAGCAGACCAATCGGAACCAGGCCGATCAGTGAGTATCTTTTCTAAATTTCCGTTTTTGCGTCCGCCAGGCCGGGAGGCTAAACTGCTTGCCATTATCTATCGGCCTCAGACTACCTTTCGCCATATAACCAGTTAGTTTTAATCAGACCACTAATATGGCAATATCGCCGTTTGATAGGCTAAAAAGCAATAATTAAGAAGACTGGTACCAGAGGCGTCTGTGTGGATTAAACTGATAGGTAAACTGGCAATAAGGTGACCTGGAAACCAAACATAAAGGCGGTGTGACTTAACATAAAGTTCGCAGTCTACTATGGAATGATTTAGAGGCCTGTTAATCGGTCGTTTTATTGGCTCTACTCTTATGTGCAGATCTAAACCCACGAGGAACTGTGCATTACTACGTGCTTTATTGTGTTATTCGACCCTGTGACATTACGCTAAGGAATAATTTCAATCATAATCAAACAATTCATTAGAAAATTCGTGTAAAATATTTAACAACTGAGATTACATTACTTTATAAACAATGATCACATTAAACATTTATAGAAGAAATGCAAGTTCAGACAGAGCTTAAAGCTGGTGCAGTAAATATCTGCGAAAACTAGATAAGTCGCTGAGGTGAACACAGTAACATTTTCCTTTCGACAAGTAGACCTGTTGTCCGTTTACACTGACATCACCGCGCGACAAAACTGGACAGAGATTTCAATGGATATTCTAGCGCTCATGTTAACTTACCTGTACGAGCACTCTTCATATCCGATGGGAGTTAAACCCGTGGGGTGGCATGTAGGCTTGATAATCCCTCGGTCACTCGAATATCTCCGATCAACCTCGTAAAAAGTAATGTCAAATCCACACGCTATAATATGCGATTGCTTAACTTAGTATCGACCGATTCCGACTCGCATATGGAATGTTAGGTTTTGCAACTCTTCCCAGTTAGGATTGCTGATCCTCTATGGTTGGATTTATAACCAGTCTGCGCTACAGGTGGAGGTTTCAGGACCATATTACATCTTTCCAACGAATACACGTACACACAAGTCGATATTATTCGTCCCGTTTTCCTCATATAGTAATAATAACATCACTGCGGGGGGCCTTTGCAGACACCCTACGGGAGTAAATCACATGGCGTTGTCTCCTTTGTGTCATGTCCACGAAAAAGTGTTGAGTATTCAAAAACCTAGCTAGAATGCCTTATGATCGAGTAGGCATCTTTCTGGACTGCGGACTGCTAGTCTTGCGAAATTTGATTCTTTGGTCAGTGGGCCCTTAGGCATTCGTTTTAGAAGTAACGTCACTCACCTACTTTGCTATTTGGTGTTTCCAAAGTTCGATCTAGCCTGTGTAAGGGTATGTTAATAAGTCTGCTGTAGCTAAAAATCCGAATTGACCTGGTGTTAACGCCCTTTCTGAGCAGCAGAAGTTGGAGTTCTCAGTTGTTAAGGCAACTTTCTAGGCTTGCGGCTAAGGTAAGCTAATTTCCTGCTTCGTCTTCGAAAACCATGCATATGTGGGTGCAAGAGAGGGCAGGATTCCTTGGACATCTTCATATACATTTTCACGATGATGCGTAGTTTATGAGGCTGAAAAAAACTTGAGATTCTTTCCTGTTAACCTTCACCAGGTACTTTTCTGCAATTAGGTGCATTATTAAAAAAAGAATTTCGATTTGGCAATTTCACTGTTCATCATTAGAATTTTAGGGTTTAGACATAACCACACCACCGCAATAGGGCCTTCGGATTTTAAGGAACAGGCTTTCCTTAATTGCGGCCGTCAATCCCAAAGTAGTTTGGCATTTGCAAAATGAATGTACGGAGCCGGGTGTCGTTGATGTCTTGCTGAATAAACGATGCTTAAACTGTCATTTTTTAAGATGTCTTCAAAGATGAGAATTTGGGAGTTCTTTATTTGACGGGAGTATTAAATGCGCAAGTACACAGGTGAGACACCAGAAACAAATACCTAAGTGTGACCTGTGTGTCAATGTGATGAAGCTGACTAAGGATGTAACCAAATGGTTTTTGCGCTTCTTCCACAGTTGACCAACCAATGGGAAAGCTTCATTTTAGTCCTTATTAGTTCAACAATTAACTGCTATTTCTCCATACAGTACCTCAGAAAAATCACAGTGATAAGATAAAGCATTTGGATTTAAAAATAACAGACAGTGTTTGGTTGAGCCTCAATCTCAAATTTTGTTTCTAAGAAACGATAGTTGATCTTCGTCGATAACGTACAGTTAAATTAGCTGTGGTCGATCTAACTAACAGTTCCTTGTAAAGCATAAATTACGGAACCAATAACCCCACGTTGAAATTTCTAAAAGATCACTTGCTTGTGAAAAAGTTCAATCAGTAAAATTCACGAAACCAATTTACAGCTCTACGACTGAAAGTTCAGGGATATTTTCGCTAGTTATAAAATCAAAACCAATAATTATATAATGAATAGGAGATAATATGTGTCTTTTTATGAAAATATTTATTCTAGGATAAATCGTCTACAGGCTGAAAATGAAAAAGTGTCGAGGAAGTTGGAACAGGCATTCGACGATATGAATAAACGCGATGGTGATCTGGCAATGCTTCAACGACGACTAGAGGCCATGGATGAGGAGCTGGCCAAGGATCGTCAGGCATCGGAGAGAGTGAGACGGGAGAACGAGTCGCTCATGCAGGTGAAGTTTCACTTTCTAGCACATCACATTGTTCCTGGTCTTGCAGATGCAACAACAGTTCACAGCATGTCAGATCCCTGTTTAAAAGTACTCCAGAAAATTATAAGTGTCATAGTCATTAAGGCGTCTTAAGGTACGAGTCTAATTGAGGTATAGAGTAGCCGGACACCCTTCCACACTGTACCTTGTACGGTGAATCGGTCGACAGGGGCAAATTCCATTCAGCCATATTTAACTTCCGTTTATTTGTCAGTGAGAAGAAATAAGCCGAAACCATCTACTATCCTTTTAACCTTAAGGACATGCCCACTTTCTGAATCACTAGCTTTTGGGCCAGAACCTTCTTGGAAGTAAACTCCGCTCTCACAAATTTAGCAGTTATAAGTATTAAGATATCCATGAGCATTTGTTCTGGCATCATTGACATTAATAAGAACAGAACGCGCAACATTGCGGTTCGTCAATATAAACATGTATACACTCCGGGGTTTTTGCCTGGAAAGAAATGTGCCCAGCTGTGGAAGACGGGGGCCAAAAATGACTCATACGTTCGTGGACATTCAAAAATAATAGTTCCAAATGGAATTAGCTGCCTGATTATTGACTTTTCCCAGTGCATACGGGTTTCAATGAGAAAAATGTGCCTAACTTGATCCGATGGCCAACGGCAGGGTATAGGCTCGTGGATCTGCTGGTAGGGCTATCAACTTCAATGTCCGATGAGCAATTTCCCTCAGACCTTAAGTTGGGAGATAACTAGCTGGTGATGACAATAAAGTTAGAAGTGGTACTTTCAGGCTATCTTGTCTTTTCTTAAAACGGTTTCCAATATCGAGTTTCTCTCCACTTTTGCGCCACAGTATGCTATCAAGTGTCCAAAGTTACAGGATAGAAATATCAGTGCACCTATGCCGCCAGGATGGGTGGCTGAACAGCACCATGCTTTGTCTGAACAATCTCAGTGACAATTCTTGTCGACTGAGTCCCATAATCGGAAGATAAGTCGTTCGACTCATCTATGACCAACTAACCCTTCTTCAAATCTCACATTTTAGAAGACCTTGGGCTGACGCAGGAAATACCTTCCATTCCCTTTGTCTCTGAAGATGAATCCGAGACGGATTTCGAAACGTCAGGCAAATAA